TACATCTAAATTATAAGCATACATAATATATACTTAGCATGGGTGAATCCAAACTTTTTTTAGGGTAGGCAAACTCTTGCGATTTGCAAAGACGAAGGCCGGCAACCTATTGCGATTGCGAAGGCGACTTGATCTTGCGAATTGCAAACGAAGGAACGAGAGGTTTTCAAGCATTCGACTGCGATTCTGTGAATGACGCGAGACAGAAAGGGAAAAACTAACGCACAATTAATAAATTTAGGACAAAAAAAATTCTTTGAAGGAAAACAAAATTCCGAAAAAGTCTTATATATTGAGTAAATTTTTTTCATTTGTCCATCCTCTCTTGACTGTGAAACCATCTATGATACTCATATAATCAAACGTACTCCATACATAAAAATTTCTCCTGCCCTGAAATAGCTACAATAGGTAGTTTAATAGACCTTTCGCATTTTCCCAAAGAGATGCATCTAAAGCTTGCTACATCAATCATTCTGGGCAACTTTTTCTCCACACAGGTCTTGTAGTTGTGATGTTGATTGTGACCAAAAATAAAAGTTACAAAGCAACTTTAAATTTTAATTTAGTTCACGACATGATGTACTTGAATAGTAGCAGAAATCTTAGATCACTAGTGCTGACTTTCTTAAACCATTTATTCATAAAGTCTGCATTGCTACTTTTTTATAATGTGGGTCCAATAAAGTATTTCGTGTAATTTGTAAAGGTATTTTTTTTCTTATGAATATATTACTACTTGTAATAATGAAAAATTGATATGTTTCTTCTTTTTTTGGGTAAACCCGGGGCAAAATTAAGCCCATGTATTAAGAAGAAAATTCAATACAATTACAAATACATGTATCATGTAAGAAGAAAGAAAAACAGCTACAAGAAGAAATGGCCAAAAACAAAAAGGAAGGCTACAGCTAAGGGGACATTACAATCAAAAGACTCAGTAAATTAAAAGGACCTGAACCAAACATCAAAACTATCAGTTAAAATCCCACAGCGACAAGCAAGAGCTCCGGTTGCCTAAGATGAAGCAGAAGGCCATCACAGAGCCGTGAACCAGCGATGAAATTACGTGCCCGGTTGCCACACTGGCCGTCCAGGGCAACAGAAGGATCTGGCCCTGCACATCATTGTCCGATTGTAGAAATGTACCCAGCAGCAATAGCCCTCGGAAACAAAATTGCCATTTCAGTAAACCCATGAAAAGAGCATCAAGTTCTTCAAAAAACGAACTGGACTTGGCTGAAAATGATAAGCAACCACAGTCCCAAAAGGTTCTTCCCAGGTCTGAAACAAAATTGGAAGAAAGAGCTGGATCCACCGGAACTCCCAAAACCCCATAGATCCAAATACAGCAGCAGAAAGCATGAATTAAGTCCACCATCAAGTAATTCCAGCGGGTCCAAAATAAGAACAAATTAAAAAGAGAGTAAGCTAATAACACCAGTACTTGAAATATAACCAGCAAAATCACCGAAACCCAGCAGCTGGGTAATGCCTAGATACCAGGAAACCTTCTCAGCAGCGATTCTTTATCTTGCCATTTAGAAATTTTAAGGCGAATAGCAGAAGAGATAATACATAAGATTTTGACAGAATTAGCTTTTAAATTAGAGAAACGGCGGTTATTTCTCTCTCTCCAAATATGATAGATGGTACAGCTAACAGTAAGGCAACAAAAAGCTTTTTCCTGGCTGTTATAAATCATCGAATGCTCAATATATTCAAAAATCTGGGAAATAGTTGGTCTCAAAAGGAAGCAATTGAAATCCGGCATTAACCTAGTAAGAATATTAAAAGAAAAATCGTAGCTAAAGAACAAATGACTGTGATTTTCCTGAAAGCCGTGACAGAGGGAGCAAGCTAGGGGAACCTGAATTCCTCTAGAATGTAAATTATCCGCCATTTTAAGTTTGCCAATAATTGTCATCCACGCAAAACAAGCATATTTAAGCACATACTTCCTATGCCAGATAGAAGTATACCACTCAACCTTAATTAAATGGGAATAGAATTGCTCAAGAAAAGCCTTAAAACCCCATTTATGAGACCCATTCCAAAGAACCTCACTTTTCTCCAAGATATTACAATCCAGAATAGCATCAGAAATGGCAGCAGGAATCGAGTTAGGAAGAGACCAGTTACCACAACATATGAAGTCTTTCACCATTTTATCAGCAAACACAGCAGTGTTAGAAACTGGCAAGATCTGGTTACCCTTGAGCCAAGGGTCCCAGAGCATGGAAAAGGTGCAATCATTAGCCACAGAGAAAGTAATATTATCTTTGATTTTTAATGTCGTATCATGAATTTTTTTCCATAATTTAGAAGCATTAGGTGAAGGAGGTTTCCAAGGAGAAGTATAAAGAGATTTATACCAATCACTCAAAAGGTTTTTGGAATTGAAAAACCTGCCAATGATAGAACAAAACACCCCATGGTAAAGAGCTTCCACCGATTGAATACCAAGACCACCGAAACATTTAGGTATAGTGACTTTAGACCAAGCAATGAGATGTAATTTCTTATCATTCACATTGCTATGGAAGAGAAATCTGGAACAAAGTTTGTTGATAGTGGCACAGCAAGATTTGGGTATGATAGAACCCCTAATCCAATATGCGATAGTGTTGGAGATTGTAAATTTGATAAACTGAACCCTACCTGCAAAAGAAAGAAACTTAATTTTCCAACCATCAAGTAGAGCAGAGACCCTGCTCAGAAGTGGTTGGAAGTGAGAAATATTGAGCCTTTTTGGGGAAATGGGAAGCCCCAAGTATATGAAGGAGTCTTTGACTTGATGAATCCCCAACAAATCACAAATCTGATTCATCTCAGGAACATTGCTAGAGAAAACAATATAGCTTTTGGATGCATTGATGTGGAGTCCAGACATAGACCCAAATAGATTTAAGCATCTATTAAGAGCAGCAGCAATATTATCCCTTGAAGCAACACCAAAAACAAGGAGGTCATCCGCATACATGAGGTGATTAATGTAGTTATCTCTACAGCTAATACCTTTAAAGCAGGAGACAGTGGAATTGTTGCAGAGAATATTGGAAAGACAGACCATCACAATATAGAATAAAAGGGGAGAGAGAGGACAACCTTGTATGAGGCCCGAGGAGGAGTTGAAAAACCCCTCAAGAGAGCCATTCAAACAAACAGAGAAATGAACCTCCGATATGCAACCTTTTATCCAAGAAACAAAGAGCTCAGGAAACCCCTTCTGAATAAGTCTAGCAATCAAAAAATCTCTAGAGACAGAGTCGAATGCCTTTTTTATATCCAGTTTAGCACAAAATTTCTTTTGAGAACCCTTGAAATCTCTAAGAATTCAGAAGCAAGGATAATATAATCCGTGGAACATCTCTTAGCAATAAAACCTGATTGGCTATCATGAATAATTAAGGGAAGAACAATTTTGAGTCTGTTAGCAATAATTTTAGCCACGATTTTATAAAACACATTACATAGAGATATGGGCCTATAATCATTGATGTGAGAGGCATGAGAGCATTTAGGAATCAAAGTGATAGCAGTGGCTTTCATCCCTTTAGGGAAGGACCCAGTATCAAAATAATTGCTAACAGCATTAAAAACTTGAGGGCGAATTATGTGCCAAGACTTTCTGTAAAAAGCAAAGGAAAAGCCGTCGGGTCCAGGGGCAGAGGACTCATTGCCATCAAAAATATCCTTTCTAACCTCCTCAAAAGAAACCTTGGCCTCCAACATAGAATGCAAGTGAGCAGGAACCATCTTACTAGGCTGGGTTTGAAGAGGTGAGATCATGGTGTCAGTGGAGGGGTTGTAGAGATTTTTGAAGTGATTAACAGTAGCCTTGGAAATGTCTGCCTGATTTGTAAAATGACCCTCATTGGTGGTAATTTCTCTGATAAAATTCTTATTGTTTCTGTTCCTGAGCTTAGCAATTTAGCTCTTTGAGAGATCCAAGAGGACCAATGAGATTGCAAGGAAGCAAGATTGTCATTGATGCATTTCAAGCTGTTGTTGAGATCCAAATTTAAAGGCTGATTTTGAAGCTCAAGCAAGCAAGAGTTTTGCTTAGCTTTAAGATCCAAAATAGTGCTAGATAAATAATTGGAGGAGGCCCAATTCCTATTTTTAAGAGATCTCCTGAGGCAGTGCAGGCTATGAGAGAAAGAGGAAAGAGGACTTCTAGCAGTCCTAACCGAAAAAGCAGAGAAAACCTCATCCCAGAATTTCCATATAAGTCCAGTAGCTTTTAAACATAAACCTAGAAGAAATAGGTTTAGAATGTGTTGGAATAAAGATTAAGGGAGAGTGATCCGAACTAAGAGGAGAATCCACTTTATAATAAGCCATCGGAAGATAGTCCAATAAGGCAGAGTTAACAAGGACTCTATCAAGCTTAATGTGGATTGGGTTGTCAACCCTTTGATTGCACCAAGTATAAAAAAGACCAGTAGAAGATAAATCTTGCACTCCACATTTAAAAACTAAGTTGTTCAGCTCCCCCAACCTGCTCTCAGTAAGGCCAGCACCTCCTGCTTTTTCAGTATCGAATCTACAACAGTTGAAGTCACCCAAAATGACCCAAGGTTGAACCCTTGGTGGGGTAGAATCAATCAAAAGATTCCATAAGCTCCTACGATCCTCCAAACTGTTATAGGCATAAACCACAGAAAGAAATATAGGGGGAAAAGATCCCGCAGAAAGGACCCCATGAATCAGTTGAGGGGTTGTGTGAATGGCAGTGAAGTTTAAGACAGAAGAGTCCCATTTAAGCTAGATTCTGCCAGGGTGAGATTCCCTGAAATTATTGGTACTTCCTTCGTTCTCAAAAAGCATGTGCAAATTCAAAAACCAAGGATCCTCAACAGAAAACTGAGAGATTTTTGCTTCCAGAATACATAGTAACTTGAGATCATGAGAATTGATCAAGGACTTACAAACACGAACCTTGTCCGGGTTATTAAAACCCCTAACGTTCCAACTAGCAAAGTTGGGCAAGGACATTAAGATTTAGAGGGTTTGGCCTTCTTGGCCGATTTTCCTTTAGGAGGTTTGGGCTTAGGAGGAGATTTTCCTTTGACAATATTAGCTATCTGTTTCGGCGGCATAGAAGCTGAATCAAAGCAATCAGTTGGTTCATCAACAGTTTTGGAGATCGAGGAGGAATCATTCTCCGAAAAACTGTCCGTAGCTTTTGATGGTTCACAATCATCAGTTTGCAGAGAAGCAAATTTATTGACTAAGGGAATTTTTGGGATTTGGAGAACTGCAAGAGAGATAGGTTGATCAGAAGAAGAGGAATCTTCTGTGGGGGAATTCAGGTTAGGTAGAGGAGGAACTTTGTATGGGGGCTGAGACAGGTCAGTGGAAGGGGGATTAACAGGAGGAAGAGCCAACTGAGAATCTGGGGGCTGGTGGGGAGCAGAGGAGGTAAAACTAGAGATTGATGGACCACCAACAGCAACAGGTTTTGAAGCGGGTTGTTTGGACGGGGATCTACGGGGATGAGAAGATCGCAACCTGGATTTGCTACGACCTCTGTTTTTTGGTGGTTGAGGAGGTAGGATGGGTTGTGGATTAGGATTTTTGGGGCAAAGAGAGTAAGGGTGAATCAACGAGCCACAACCCTCACAAGTGTCGGGTTTCCAATCATAAATAACAGTAAGAACCATGTCTTCACCATCAATCTCTAAAGGAATTTCCTCATGCAAAATTGAATTTTTAGTGATGAGGACACATACCCGAGCAAACGTTAACCTGGTACGATTAGCAGTAAGAGCGTTAACCGAGATCGGTATCCTAATGTAGCTGGCAATACGGGAGATGCCTGTAGGCATCCAAAGAGCTAACAGGAAGTCCACAATTTTAATCCACAGGGGAATCGGTGCTGCCTCGTCTCTTTTTGGCTTGAATTTTGGGGACCAACGCTGAAGGATGAAAGGCTTTCCAAGGAGAAACCATGGTCCGCCCGATAAAATGGATTCTAGGTCATCAGACGTAGAGAACTTCAAAAGAAAAAAGCCATCCGCCAGAGAAAGCAAGGACATAAATCCCTTAAGAGGCCAGAGTCTCTGCATGGCTTTGAGGAGGCGCTCATAGTACGGGCGAGGACCGAGAGAGTAACCGATGAGAGCATTGTTCCAGATAGTCTTTCCTTCAGAAAGATCGTTGGAGTTGAAAGAGAGCTTCTTTTGGCCCGGGGAGAAGAAGGAAACCAGGAAAACATTTGGCTTGGAAGCTGGGGCTGAGACGTTGTCGGCATAAGAAAGGACAGTAGGGGGATTGCCAAGAACTGAAGCAGAGGGAAGAGGGGGGAAGTCGAGAGATGGAGAGGCCATCAAAGAGGTGGTGGGGGAGGAACCCTCCCAAGAGGGGAGGAAGAAAACCAAGGCGGTGGGGAAGGCGAAACCCTAGCAGAGCATGCGGCTATCGCACTCTCCACCCTTTCGTTTTGATATGTTTCTTCAATTATAACTTTTTTTTGGGTAATTGAAGAATTTTTTTTTAAGGTGAGCACATGAAACCAAGGTTGTGAAAATCGGATCGGACAACGAATCGGAAGAATGAGAGGTTCATAAAATAAAATAAAATTTATGTTAAAATTAGAATATTTTATGTAGTCAGAATACTATTGTAGCTCACAACAATAGTCATAATTTAATTCCTCTTATTCTTATGCAACAAATTAATTCTTTATATCACAAAATACCTATAATATATTCAAAATTAAAAACTTTAACTATTATAATTATAAATTTATATTAGATTATATTAAAATTTTAATATAAATTGAATAACTAAATTCAATTTTGAGTATTCTTAGAAATCCCTAAGTCTTTTTACGATTCTAATCCTTCTAAAATTATCTGTTTCTTTTCCTTAGCACTGCAACACCGGCACTCACTTAACATTTGCAAATTAATCCTAATTACACTGTGATTATGACCCAGTTTCTAATTCCATAATTGCATTAGTAATAAGTAATACTACACTACTTGATTAAGCCACTCCGAGCTCTCTCTCTCATTCAGAGAATTTTCTCACAAATATATTCATTTATAACACTATCAGTTCATCAATCTCCTGTACTGTTACACAATACACATATATTCTTGCTAAAAAAGCAGCTGAACACAGTAAAAACCTTTGGATTATAGATGTCGTGAATGTCAAAAGCTTTGCTGTCAGGGCCTACAAGTACCATGCATGGCAAGCCATAAATAGGGTTTTCATGAGATAGATGCGTATAAGATTCAGCAGATGATGTGTGCGCTTATAATTGCGCCCTTTACAGAAGTTGGTCTATGCATTCATGTCTTTTAGTTGTCTTGGCTCATAAGCATAATGTATAGTATGGGAGAGGTTATTATGTGCGAATATCGAATGGGAGAACCATTTGGTACCAAGCGATATCGAGTGGTATTGGCTATCTATATTGCTTGGTTTCAAGTGCGATAAACCTTTGAAGTGACGTGGTGCGTTTTTATTAATCTTTAGATGACGTCCGGACTCGGCACGTATAATTTGTCATAGTATGGGGGGCCTTATTTGGCTATGGGAAGATAGTGGAGAGGTCATGCTGGGACCAAAAACTGTACTGTTTGTATTGATGATTTCTGCTGACCAGTAGATCTTGGAGTGGATATTTTTCTGATGTATGGAGAACACTTAAAGCTGCTTAGATCTCCGTACCTTTACAGGCTTTGTGTGTGCTTCTTAAAAGGCAAGAGGTAAGGAGTAAAAAAGAGAAAGAGACTGCTGCTCCATGACTTTTGGGGCTCATGATATCATGGCAAGCCGTATGAGGGAATTTTGTTAATGAGTACACCTTGTTGTGCTAGTATTTAGGAAAGACTGGGACAGCTAAATACAGTGTGATGTAGTGAGAAAAAATAATAATAATAAAGGTAGTTGAGGTTCTTATTTTATATGATGAAAATACTTAGATTTTGCAACAACAAAATCGAGTATATGTAGTTTTTATTTTTTGGTTTAGTCTTTTTTAATATTTTATGATAAACTCATTAATGTGTCAATGACAATTAATAACTTGAGGCACAATTAATTAATTGCTTTGATCAAAATGCTCTCTATCTACACTTGGAGTTATAATTAATTATATGAATTTAATTTTTAATGAAATCATAATATCTCGTCTCTTAAACATATCCTAGTCAAATGATTAAGGAAAATCTCTAAAATAATTCAAAATAATCCACTAATATTTTTTTCTAATTAAATTCCAAAATAACTGGAAAAAAAATCACGAGTATGTGACTTTTTTCATAGCCTAAGAACAAAATGTGTTTGTGGCAATGACACATGTGGATGATATTTAGGTTTTTTACTGCTTTTTAAAGCCGCTTTCTAGTAAAAAAAAAATAAACAATAATTTTTTTAAACTCAAAAGCTGCTTTAGAAAATAATAAGTAAGTTATCACAAACAAAACCTTAATCACTTAATGTATATTGTTAAGTTAATAACTCGTAATATGAGCTCCATCTTTTCTCAATTCCACTCAAAAAACCATATTGAATCCTGCACAATCACTTATATTTGTTTGCTTTAGCTTAATTTCATTGGTGCGCACTTAGAAATAGTTTATTTCTATTGTTCTTGTGTTATTTAGTAGAACTGAACACAAAATGCACAAATTTTGAGTGAGGCCCCTCTTATCAGGTGCTTCAAATCCTTCTACATGAGATGAAGGGCCCCTCTTTGTCCATATTTTTCTTGAAGAGTAGAGGCTTGAAAGCAAACATAAATTTGTTCTTTCTCTAGTACTAGAGGCTAAAAAGCCCTTTAAAATCTTTAATGCTACCTAGTTATAGCTTTTTAAAAGTAAGAAAATAAAGATCAATAAACAAGAGGAAAAAAAAAAGGATGAAAAAGAGGTGAATTGACAAAATGAAAAGCAAGTATTAGGTATAAGTAGTCCTCTTGATGTCTCTCTTATTACTTTTTTTCTAGAAACACTCACTAAGATCTCTTAAAAACTTTAAATTAAGAAAATAAGTAGGCTAATCAGAGAATTATCTATATCAATTGGCTAATTAAAGAGGATGATTATCAGAGTTTTCTTTATTAAAGTATCAAATGTCAAAGGAATCATAACATGATAAAAGAGATTGTGATATGATCCGATGGTATTCTTTCCAACCCTCTTTGATATTGCTATATGACTATTAATTATTTCAAGGCCTTTTGTAATAACACTAATGTTCACTACAATAGATATTTTCCCTTTGAAACTCTACTATATTTATCACTCCAACAATGATGTTTTTGATACGGGATGACACTAATTAATGGATTCCTCCTTTCCTCTTATTAAAAAATACTTTGTTTTGTGATCTTCTAACTCTTAACTGAACTAGTCTTGTTTGGAATAATAAATACTCTCTTAGATAGTCTATTTTTCATAGAGGACTTTCATTAATGATTTAAAATAGTTGCATGTTTTATCATAATATATATATATATTTATAATTATCTTTGCCTTCTCTTTGAATTAAGAAGGAGAACCAATATCATTTATTTTTTGAACATCATTACTCGAGTTAGCTGGTCAATTTAATCACACATGAGTTTAATATTTTTTGGGAACTAAAGTTTTGTAATAATATCTTCTATCATACTTTCTATGAGCATGCATTTACTCTATCTACACTAGCTGATCAATTCTATCATATTACAAACATAAAAAACAAGCACACTAACAAACTTCAGAACATATTTGCATATCAAAAGTGTAACAAAAATTGTATTTATAATGTATTGGGCTATGGCTCTTAATATTTTCAAAATAAATCTTGGGTGATATATCTTATGTTATATGTACTTCACAAATATAACTATTTTTTCTCTCTTATATACAAGGCTTATCATCATGCTAAAAAATGTGTCTACTCACCGAGGGCCTTGGCTCATGCACCACAGTCCTTGATTTTCAAGGCATAAAACTTAATTGGATTTGAGATGTAGTTATTGTGGCAAAGAATTTTCATTGCTCTCAACGTGGGTTATTAATTTGTATCTAGCTAACAAAATGTTTGTGATAAGATTTTTATCTTAAAAAAAGTCGCAAAAATAAGCTTATCTATTATATTTTTACCTCGCTCTTAAACGGGACATGCACTCATCACAAGTCTTAACATGTAAGCTATGGACTTAAGAAAAAAATTTGTGAGAATTTCCTGATGCCAAACATGTCAGAGTGAATCTGTTCGACTTATGCTGAGATTAGTAGTATATATGATATCCTGAATTTCACTAACCCTTAAGAAAATCGAACGGCTTTAGAATCTCTTGTAATATATGTTTTACATCAGAATATCATGAATTTTTTTTTTCTTAAGGGGTATTATCATTGATTCTTAATTTGTATGATAAGTCAGGAAAATAAAAGCCTAACATAAATACTTGCAAGTGTTTCTTAATTGTTCTCGAAGAAACTTCGGACATTAGCCTATCCTGGGAATCCTTCATTATTTGTTACAGACAGGAGGCCTCCATCATGTACCTTTCGTTCCTTATCCAAAACTCCAGGCCCTTAACTCGTAAGAACCAAGCCCAAAAAATTCTTTTATTGTTTTTCTTCTCAAAAAATGGGCTTATCATAATTTTCATTTCTTTTAGTTTTGCAAGAAAATAAGTAGGAAAATAGCTGTACAGCTATATCTGCAATATCAAAAAAATTTTCTCTTTTTTTTATTTTTTTATTAGTAAAATAAATGGTGAATATTTATACATAAAAATACATGCTTCACAAAAAAATGTTGCAATTTTGGACAGCTTCACATTTGAAGAATTTAACATGTTTTAGAAATATTTTTTAGATTATGTGCTTATTTTTGCTTCGTTTGGGCCGACTCTTTATTGCTTCTAATTTTTGTACTCAAATTCTATTTTGGGATTGTTTTTTTATTACTTCTTAAAACAGTTTTTTAGTAAAAAATTAAAAATTTTAGACTGATATGTATAAATATTGAAGTAACAAGAATTAAAGTTGTCTCAAACGAAACCTTAGTCTATGTGTATGTATGATATTGAAGGAATTAGAGAAAATATGAATATGTTTAACTTCATAGTTTTGTGTTATTTTTTATTCCATTACAATTATTAGGTGGTTGAATTTAATTTGAAAATATGCTCAAATGTAATTTTTATTTGATAATTCCCTAGTCAACCATAGTTGACTTTTTGTCCCTCTTAATAAATCTAATTGATCTACTTTTCCTCTTATATATTTATTTGATGAAATATCCCCTAAAGTTATTTTTGGATGAAAATACAAATTAAAAGAAATATATTTCTGTTGAACTATACCTCGCTTAAAGTCATAATAAAGCTATTTATTCCTAGCTCTCTCATATATACATCCTTTCATTTCCTCTTATAGCTGTTGTTGATTATTCGTTCTTCCGCTAGGAGATCTCTTTGTACAAGACGTAAGAAGATCATGATGATGTAGCTAAAGCAAACATATCATATATATTGGTTATGTAAAAGAAAAAAGATGTTAAAATTGAGGTCATTTTAATAGTAGCATGAATGTAAAACCACACAGAGGGTCGAAGTAACATGTTAAGAAAAGGTTGATCAAGATTGGAAAAAGATTTGAATCTTGTTCAAACTTGATTTGAACCTGATTCATACATGATTCGAACCCGATTCAAACTTTTTCAAATTTGCTCAAACATAATTTGAATTAAGTCAAACCTAGTGCAATCTTTGTTCAATTCTCTTTTGCCTATTGTTGATTTCAATTTGAAAGAGGTTCCACATAAGTTTAAGAAGGTTTGGCCTTTGTTTTAACTAAACAATATTTATCTTTAGAGCATTTTCTTTTTGAATGTAATTGTGCCTAGTTCCTGTTATCACAAGTATAAATAATTTGTAAATAGCTATTGTTCCTATTTGAATATAAATAGTTTATGTCCTGATTTGTAAACATGTGCAATTGATGTTGAAGTTTCTATTGTTGTTAATGTAATTATAAATAGTCTGTTCTATTAGGTTTGAATCATGCAAGAATATTTATTTGAAAAAAAAAAAAAAACAGGCATATATAGAAAATTAAGGTCAATAAATTGTTAAAAACTCAATAACTTTTACTAGTGCTTTCTCTCCTTTTACCTAAATCATACACTAAACTATATAATATTGGGCATTCACTTTGCACTTTGAGTCTTCATGAATTTTGCTTCCCGAGCTTATCTCTAAGTATTCAAATATCTAAGGATTCGTTGGGACAGCTTTTCATCGCTTTCTAAAATAGCTTTCAAGTTCAAAAATTTCTAATTCAAGAAAATTTTTAACTAAAAAACTATTTTAGAAAGCTTTAAGAAAGTTGTCCCAACAAAGCCTACGAAAATTTCATGAAATTGATCATCATCATCATGATTGTTATTACTTGATTATCCTGAATGAAAATTTATAGAAATTATTATATAATGGCAAAAATGATTTATTATCATTGAGTCTTTAATGAGCAACACATAAGTTATCTAAGCTCGTGATATCAATAAAAGAAAATTGAAATTCTTACTTTAATGATACATTAAACAAAGTAGGAGTGACACTAATACTATTATGATGTGTATGGATGGAAAAGTTATCATGCTCTATGCATAATGCATATATATATGCAATACATAATGCATATTATTATGCAAAATTTCTAAAAAAAATATTTAAATGTTCAGAACTAATATCTTTATAGCATGCAGAATGTTACGAGCTAAATTTTTTACCATTGCAAAGTTTTCCTCATTTTTTGGTAAGAGAAATATAATTTTAATCAAAGAATATGGGAAAATTCTATATTTTTGAAAACTAAGATAAGCGTTGTGTGACCTACCACGTTCAGGATAATATTTAGAACTGGGCTGACAACAAATAGCAAGCCGAAGAGGCTCAAATCTTCCTTTCTCTCTCTAAAATTATTATCATTCTCTCTAGGTTAGCTACTTTCACAAATGAGTGAAAAGTGAAAAAAAAAAGATATTTTTAAGTGCAGAATTTAGCCCAGTACCTAAGCGTTGTTGTTCTAGCATGGAAGCACTAGTTCATTTTATAATTTTCAAAACTCATGGCACTTTATGATTTTTACAAAGAGCTACTGTATTAAAGTTTGAGCTTCATAATATTGAAAATGAACAACATCTTTCAAAGCCCCTGCACTATATTTATAACTCCTTGTAATTGATGAAATGTAAAAAAAAAAAAAATTTGAAGATTTGATATAATCTTCGCATCCATGCGTCCAGTGCAATAATAATATGATAAGATCAAACACTAAAATGATAGTATCATTATCATGGAAATTCTTCAGACTTATAGGTCAATTTGAATGTTGCTGTTGAAGGGATAACTGAGATGCCATTAAAGCTAAAACTTGAATACCGAATTACAGAGAAATACATGTATACAATCCTATATACACTTCTTACTGTTCATCCTTTTCTCTACACTTATTACATATTTATATAAGATGATTGAGACAAAGATGGCTGCCATCCAACAGTTGGTAGTGTTGTTGCATCTGCTGCATCCGCCGACTTGTCATCCCCGGCAAGTTTGTGCAAAAAGTACGACAATTAACGATATGAACAAATAGGGGTTGAGTCAAAATTAAGGAAACTCCAACATATATTTTGTAAAAATTGAATGATTAATCAATTACGTCATTTTGAATTATTTTTTTTAAATCATTCATACTTCAACCTAAAATCTGTTTAAAAATAATTGTCATTATATAAAATATTAATGATATTTATAAAAACTTAATAAGTAAATAGTGAAGTTTACATGTCAAATACAAAAATAATATAATTCTATGTATTATGTATGTAAATCCCCTAACATAAAAATATAATTTTATGAATTTATTTATAATAATCAAATTTATTTTAGTATTTCAACTAGATTGTATTTGTTTTATGTTTATTTAAAATATAGATAAATTCTAATCACTTTCAACAAAATAACATCTAAATAAAACCCTCCGGGATTGACCTATACCATACAAATATGCACCAACCTCCACACATATTTTCACAACCTGCACGCCTCCAATAATTTAATACGCTAATTAAATAATAGTTTACATTTAGAACATTAAATAAAAAACAACATCAATTAACTTAAGATAATAAACTTCTAGTTTATTAGTGTTTATTATTAAACTATTATTATTATTATTATTGATACGGCATCACAAAATTAGCTTGATCTGGCACGAATCTCGAGGCAAAAGCTAGTTGGAAACTACAGAGAAGAAGCAGAAGACGGCGAAGCGCGAGAGAATGAAGGCATATGCTCCCTCGAAAACCCTAAAGTTCACGAAGAGTAAGACGAATAAGAAGAGCAAGAAAGTGGCGAAGGATGGACGCAAGCGAAAGTCTGGTCCGCACCTTCCTTCTTCCTTTCTGAGAGAATTTGGGCTTCAGAAGCCCATCCCTAGTTCATCCGACAAAGGGGAAGTAGAGGAGGAGATTGAGGACCTTTACGAGTACGAGGAGGCACTCCCGGAGGAGGAGACGAAGAAGAATCGGCGCTTCGATCCAGTTGAAAACTACGAGTACGAGCTTCCTGACGACTTTGAGGTTTGATGTCTCTGTTGATTCCGTTCTGCTGAACTTTGTTTTTTTTTTTCATTATTTGTTTTCAATATTTATGTTCGTCTTATTGCGGTTGTAGGATGAGAATGTACCATCGGATGATGATGAACATGAGCTTTCGGATGAAGACGACGGTGTGGCTGACGGGGAAGGGAATGTAGCGGATGCTAGTGAAAAGCATGTGAGAATGCTCCAATCAATCACCGGATTACCTGCCGAGGCCTTCAATGGTATGGATTATTCACTTCTTCCTGTTACCCGAAGAGAAAAGCTGTCACTGTTTTCTACATTTTTGCCGTTGTAAATGCGACTTTTGGACTTTCTTGTAGATAAGAAAAAAAAGAATGTGACTTTGTCCGGTGTGCAAGGTGATTTTGGGGGTGGACAAATCAGTATCAGCGATTTGTTGGATCCTCTTCATGGGAAGGCTGGGTACAGCATGCTCAGGAAGAGACTGCATCAGCTGGAAAAGACGCCAATGGCTGTTCAGGCTCCTCTCCCGAAAGTGGAAAGAGACAAGTTGGAGAGGAAAGTGACATATGTGCAATCAAAAAAGGAAATGACCAAATGGGAGCCACTTGTTAAGAGGAACAGAGAGGCTCCTACTCTATACTTGGGTGAAGATATAGACCTGGGCATGCATACTGTGGGAACAATTGCTGCTGAGCATAAACCACGGACAGAATTTGAGAGGAAAATGGCTGCACTAATTGGTGACCCAGTAGTTATGGAAGCTCATAGTAAGGATGGTGCTAGACTTTTAGAACTCAACAAGGTGATGTAAACTCCTTTCATTTCATTTAAAATGATCTTTTGTTTATATATCTGCAGTCTGCTTGATGAATAGGAATGAAACCTATACGTTCATATGCATGCTGTGAATTTGTAGTGAAGTTCCTTCTCAATAACCTAGGTACTATTGCATTGCTAGTTTTTGCATTCCTGATCTATTTATTATTTTCACTGTTCAAAGTTTGCCGTTAACTTCGTTGTAATGTCTGCACATCTTTTGCCTTGGCATTTTTTAATCATGTGATATTAACTTTTTTTTAGATATGGGCATCAGATTTTACCAGAAGTTACATTTATAACTTTATCAAGCTTGAAATTTTTTTAAAGCAAGTTTGCGGTTATTTCTTTTGCTTGTCAAGACTTGGAATCAGCCTAGATACAAGAGGTTTGATGAAGCTATAACAGTATATTTGCTACCATATTGCGATGAACACTACTAAATTGTTGTGCTTTGATTCATACTAGGATAATAGAATCAAATATTAAGTTGATATTTAAATAATTGTTAGAATTAGAAACAAGTCCTTTCGAAGGTTGTTTAGGGCCAAAAAAACTGTTGGTTCAAGTTTCTAAATTTTTTGCTTCAACTATGTTTTATGGAGTAAATTTTGATAGTATCCTTTTTGGATTATAGAAGCATACATACTTCCCCATTGATTTAGAAATTATTGATCTCCCTGTCAGATAATGTTTTCAAAACTAAGTAATGCTTGTTTATGATCATTATTATTTCCAACCTTCAAATTATATTACATTATGCCCTACGTAAGCAATGTACCATAAAAAAGCTATCTTCCCTCATTCCACTCGTCACTCCCCCATAAGCTGCAACGCTTGTCACTCCCCCTTAAGCTGCAACTCTGGAATTTTAAACTTTCAACACTCACAAATTTTAGAAAGGAAACTATGTATAAAACCAAAATATGAAATGAAAGATGCTCGGCTAAGCTTGAAGCATTTCTTTTGGGTGGCAACCATGATTTTACTTAGATGGTGAAAAATTATGGTTGAGTTTGAAAATAATAGGGCTTCTTTGTTCATATTACAGTGCTGAAAATTAGGTTTTTTTGCATGGGTGTGCTTAAAAAACTAGAGCTTTGAAGCTTGCTTTTTGTTCCATGAAAAATTATGTTATCACTGTGTGATTTCTTGATGCATTCTTTTTTATTGTTTTCTTCCATACTCAGGCATGGGATTGTTTGTTTCCAACGTTCACCATGAAAGAATGATATATCTCTTCAACAATGTGGATATAGTATGCTATTTCTATTTTCAGTTTCATTGTAATGTTTTTGCGCTACCAAAATTGTGGCAGTTGCCTACCACTTGGGCTGACATTGTGATAGTAGTAGACCAAAAGTTGGAGGGGATGGCGATGCTATAGCCATCTTTGAATTATCGGAGCGCACTACCGACATTGATGTGCATGTGGAGTAAGCTGGGTTATATAGGTTAGTTGGTGGATAGAAATCGAAAATGAGTATGAGCCATCATTGGCTGCTGATAATGAAAGTTTAATGACTAAAAGTCACCTTATTCTTGGTGCATCTGGTGATGAGGCTGAGGATGTGGAATAGGGCTTTAGTCTGATGAGGTATATGAAGTCCAAGTTTTTGTGCCTGGTGATTGTGTTCTCCCTAATATGTTGGCAGCCAAAGAAAAGGAGTTGGATTGTGAGATGAATGATTGCTGTTTTTATTCAGTATGAAGATAATTTGGGAGAGTTAGATGAGGCTAGGATGCAAGTAATTTTTATTTTGGAACTGTAGTTAATCTTTTCTTCTCGCTCTTTTAGTATGTGATGAAGCCATTTCAAAGCTTCTTAGGGTACATTTGGTTCGGTTTAATTATAACGTCTCCGCTTTCAAAACATAAGTTTTTTTTTCAAGTTGTATGGCTGTACTACTTTTATGAAAGTAATTTATCAGAACTCCAGTTTCTTGTCAGTTTTCAAAGTTTTTTTTTTCTATCACTGTTCCATTTTACATTGTACAAAAGTCTTAATTAACCTTGCACTACAGACGATCTCTGAATGGCATCCCGAAATGTGCTCCACAAATTCGATACTCTATCACTGCAAATTTTTGAATTTCATCTCGCAAATGGCATCAAAATATTTTCTTTTATGTTTTTTTTTCTTGCACTGAAAGTAGTATAGATGTATGTATCATCTTTAATTTTATAAAGCTTGCAAAATCCATATGCTTTTCAAACATTCTCTCACAGTATATACGTATGTTAATATAATATTAAAATTTAAATATGTAATATAATAAAGTCATTTCGTAAATGAAGTTTAATGTTAGGGCATTTTATTCTAATAAAATATAATTACATATACTTAAATTTCAGAGATTAAAAAAAACTTAAATTTCAGAGAAGAGTAATTTAGTCTTTTATTGTAAAATCATTAAATCTGTACGCCTAAACAAATAATTAATATATGCTTTCTGGTTTTAGTAAGCACTTAAAAAGAATGTTACTTAAATAACAACCCTTTTTTGAAACAACATTTTTTTAAACTCCTTTTTCTGAACATCTGTTTCTAAAATTCCATTTTACATCAGCAACAGTCCGACAAAACTAACCCTTAGTCATGTAAAACAGTGCAATTACAAATCTGAGATTCTGTAATGAGAAAATTCAAATTCCCTAGTACAATATATCTCGGTAAACACATAAGGAAAGCCAATGAAGTGTAAGAGCAAATAGGTGAAGTGCAAAAAAGGGTGCACTTGATTTGTTTATATAGATCTGTTTCTAACAGCCAAAAACTACGAGCTCTGCAATAGTCAAATGCTTTAATGAGATATGAAAGCGAAAAAACATAAAATTCCAAGAAAGTCTGAAAATCTGACAGTGTTGATTCGGAAAATTGCTCTAACGTCAGTTATTTGGGAAATTTGTATGCGTTCATATGGTTACTAGGCAGGGTTATTGGGGAGGGCTGCATGGTTTTAAACCTATGGTGAAGGCAAGTGGATTTTTCTAATCATTGTGGAAGTCAAAGTTATTTACCCCTTTTTTACTTGATGTAGGCGCCGGGGGGGAGGAGCAATTGATGTGCCTTGCTTTTGGGATGATTTGGTTCTTTGTTTAGGCTTGGTTGTCTCAGATTTAGCTGCCTCTTTGGCAAGCTGCTGTGTTTTTCTTCTAAAATTAGCTCATAAATGCCTTTCCGAGTTCATTCCCCCTCCCCCCTCTCTGTGGCCTTTCTGTTTCTCTGCCTGGCTCCTGTCCCGTGGCTGGCTGTTGCTGTTCCCCATGGTTACCCGTTCTTGTCCCCCGTGTGGTCCCTTCTGCTGTTGTTCCAGGCGTTGCCTGTTGGTCTTTCGGCTCCCCTTATTTGGTTGGTTCGGCTGGAAGTTTTGTGGGCTGTTTGGCTTCCTCTTTTTACCTATATATGTAGGGTTTTTTTAGTAGAAAGAGGGGATGATATGAAGTGATTTTTGGAATCTAAACCTGCTGGTTTTTTCTTGGGAAAGCTTGCGAGCTTGTTCCATTTATCTTCTCCTCCCTTCGATTTCGTCTTGGACTTCTTATGTAATTCTTTTCTCCACAAGTGACCACCTCATTTGTATCTTTCTACTCGATGGATGAAAGCTTCTTTAGGTGTCTTTATGTATTTAGTATATTGTTGGTTGTAAGTTTAAAGGTGTCGTTTTATCTTATTTAATTTTATTTAAGTTTTTGTGTCTATTTTAAGTTATATGGTTGTAAGTTTGTTTTGTTTTAAAGGAAGACACTAGTTTTTTTTTTTTGTAATTTTGATTGCATCATTATTTTACCAATTATTTGAGTTTTGGTTTGTCCAGCAATCGTCCAAAAATTGGTTGATTTGTTGACATACTTTATCCTCATTGATTAGCAGCAGTTGTAGCTACCATACTGGTCCCGTAGATCCACCTTATGTAATCAAGTTGCCTGGCTGTTTGAAAGCTGCTCCGGGCAGTCCTCAAGTTTGGTGATGTGTGACACTAAGGATTTATTTGGGACAGCTTTTTTAATGCTTTCTAAAACAATATTTTACTTAAAAATTTCTTGAATTAAAATTTTTTGTACTAAAATGTTGTTTTAGAAAGCAACCAGAAAGCCATCTCAAATGAAGCCTAAATGCTATTCCATTAAGGTGGTGGAATCTGTGCAATTACTTATTGGGATTTGGGAAAAACTGCTTTTAAACCATGGGATTTTTATACAATACATGGTGATCCACTTAGGCATGGATGGTTGGATATGTTAAACCTTGTGGATCATTGGCATCTGCTTTCTCACCCTTCAAGTACACGATACAAAGTATGCTACCTTTGAAATGCTATTAACTATAAAATTTGAATATTTGTGAAATTTGTATTAGAATGGACCTAGCTATTTCCTTGGGCTAATGATAGATGATCTATGTGAATTTACTATTAGAAAATTTATGTTAGATGAAGTTAGCCATTTTGTTCTTCTCTAGAAATTTTGTTGAAACCTGAGCCTAGATCAGTTTGCAGTGTTCAGTGACATATCGCCTTAGCACAATCCCATCCAAGAACTTGATTTGGATGACTATGGTTCCATCTTTATCTACTGAAAATCAGTTGCTTGTATGTCATTTTCTTAGTGTACCAAAAAGTGCAACAGATGAACAGGAATGATATTGGGGATGGGTGTGGGGATGATGTGCCTTAATTCTTGACTTGTACTAGTTATATTGGAGGAATAGCTAAAAGGAGAGTGAAGAAAAGAGAAGATAGAAAGTAGAGAATGTTTTTTATTTGGCAAGGGTTGCAAGTATGGATGGAAGTTTTAGAGTTTGAATAAAATCCCATCAAACTACATTATCGTGGAGGCTATAACATTTAAGGAACTTTTCAAATCATCATACATTTCCTTAAACCTTGACATCCTTTGCTGATACATGGAACCAATATAGCCATATGGGCTTATTAATTGTATACACATACAAATAAAGATATATTGAGCTATAGAAATTCGGATGTATTACAGCATTTAAAAGTGGTAGTGGGTCTCAATAATATTTTGGAATTGATGATGCTTACTTAACTCACTTTGCTGTGACACTTGAACGATAATTGAATTCAGATGCCTGAGCATCAATGTGTTGCTCCTGCAGATTTTTGAAATTTAATACCACTGGTAACTAAAATTATTTATTAGTCTATCTGTTTTTTTTTTTTAATCTTATTGATATGTTATGGTTGCATTTATTATACTTAAATTTTTAATGACTTGATATTCTGATTTGTTGATTGATTTCTTAATCCTGTAGTTATAGTTGGAAGAGCATATCCCTTTGTATATTGGCTGTTATTATTTTTTTAAATTGAAAGATCCAAACCTTATTCCTTTTCTGGTCGCAATTCCATTTCCATAGCACTCACTCTTCTGTCTCTCTTCTTTCAGTTATTTGCTTTTTCAAAGATCCGTCTCATGAATATTCCCTGCAAATACATTTGTAGCTGATATTTATTTTTGTTCTTATGGACGTTGAAGTTGACATTTTTTTTCTTCATTTGGCTTGTTGGTTGGTATTACATTCCATGGAGATTATTGAGATTATTACTTTCTCTTTAAACTATTTAAACACTATTGCAGGTCTCAATTGAGGATGTAAGGGATCACCAGAGTCGTCTTGCTAAAATGCGTAGCCTTCTTTTTCGTCATGAAATGAAGGCTAAACACATTAAGAATATCAAGTCAAAGACCTATCATCGTATACTGAAGAAGGAGAGACAGAAAAGAGCCTCAGCTGAAATAGACATGGATCCTGAAGTTGCCAAGGAGCTTGCTATTAAGCAGGAATTTAAACGAGCTGAGGTGAATGCCATTCTTACATATTTTTCATGCTTATGATATTACTCCTAATTCTTGCCATCCTTTGGATATTTATCGGTGTTTATTGCATGATATTTATAATATTATACAGGAACGAATGACACTGAAGCACAAAAACAGCTCAAAGTGGGCAAAACGTATTTTGACGCGAGGTTTTAAAGCTCAAGATGATGGCACTCGAACTGCTATTGCTGAACAACTTCAACAACATGCTCTTCTAACAAGGAAAATCAATTCTATGAATGAGAATAGCAGCAGTGATGAAACTAGTGATGATGATTCAAATGACCTTTCACATGGTTCAGATAGTGGAGTTTCCAAACTCCTTAATAAAGCGAAAGATAAGACAATTAAGGTCATGGAAGAAGAGGATGAGATGCCTAAAACTGGAGTTTTTGCATTGCCTTTCATGGTAAGCATTAAAGATTATATTTCAATCCATGAACCCATAGCTTGACCTTTCCGGGAGCATGTATCCTAAAATTTTGATGACTTATGTGATGCCTTATGTCTAACTGCTTTTAGTTCACACTATCATATTTTCTACCAAATTTAGTAACTCTCTCCTTGAAATGCCATAGATTTTTCTCATTTGTTCAATGTTTTGGATTTTGATCCCTCATTGCGTCAGATGATTTTCTCATCAGTGGTCATTGTTTTCTGACACTCTAAAAGGCCAGATTGGGCTGCTTAATGTTTCTCAACCCCTTGTATCTTGCAATCTACCATGAGTCTCCCTCTTTACCTTGTTCTCAATTTCTTGTCTTCCTACTATAGTAATTGATGGTGAGATGTTGGTCCACTTTCCTTGGCATCACTGTCCAAATCTGGATACAATGATCAAATCATCATTTGCTACTTCTGATTGTTCAGACAAACTCTTGATATTGCTGCCTTTTCCTAGATCCAAGATATTTTTTGGCTTGTTTTATTGATTTTCTCTCCTTGTTTTTTGCTTCCACATATTGTTTGATATTATTTTGGCTTGTTTTACCGTAAGCAAATTTTCTCCACTCAATATTCTATATGTTCCTCTTAATTTCTCTGATAGCTTGATCTGTTCAGTAACGATTTCCTTCTATCACAAGTTATAAACGTTTCATCCTTCTTCCTGCTTTCATCTATTTGAATTTTCTTGAAAAAAATTAATTCTATTATAGTATTATTAGGTTCTTTTTCAGCTTGGATAATTGGGTTTTATTTAAGGCTTACTGGTAGTTGAGGTTACAAATCTAGAAGTTTTCTTTCACATTTTGTGGTAATTTGATCGAGTTTTGCATCTGAATTCCATGCATGTTTATTTTTAAGTAGCTTGCACAATACTTTGTTATCATTTTTAAAACTAAGGTAGACTTCATTTGCGGCGACTTGTGCTTTTCTACTTTTGCTTCGATTTTTTTTTTCTCATTCATATTTTCTATTATGTTGTCCCAAAGCAACTTTTCTAAAGCAAATTTTGAGAAAAATGGTGGAAAAATTGTATTGTCTTCTCATCCAAACACATTACTTTTTGATGGTTTTTTTTTTTAAATCTTATATCATTATATTTAATATTACTTTTTGATGGCTTATTATCCTATAAAAAACTAATAAAGAAGCTGTATTAAATGAAATAACTATATTTAAAAAATTCTTAGTTTTTCCCTTTTGATTTAAGTTATTATCTTTTTTGCATAAGCCATGCATATTCTTTATTTGTTAAAACTATTCAAATTATTAGGTGAAACCACTCTATTATTTTTAGGGAAAGCAAACAATTATTGGAGACTGGAATATTAACTTATTTGTCATATTTTTGCATTTCAACGTATAATTACTAATTGTAGGAAAAACTGTGACTATTGAAGTTCATCTTCTAACTTTGTGGATACAAATGAAAGCTCTTTGTGCTAGCGGAATGGATATTCTTTTGAATGTTGGAATGTGAAACTTGAATCACCCCTATTACGATTTTGTATCACCATGATAAAGTTACATGTGGCCCTGATTGTCTGCTTTGTCCAAGGATGGAAATATAAGCAGCTGGTGCAGCTTTTGTTGGGTTGAGATCTTCTATTTAAATAAGGAGTCATGGTGGTGTTTTTGTTTGGTATTTCTTGATTTTTGCTGATGCCGGCGGTCATATTCTTCTTCTTTGTATATATCAATTTTCAAATTTGATCATATTGGTGTATATTCTTGATTTTTGAGAGGGTTATATTGGACTGGTTAATACTGGTTTTGATTTGCTTTGTTTTTTTTTTGGTTGGACTATGATGAATGATGACATAAATGATTTATTCCCTATAATGGCCACTCGACAACCTGGCTTTCATGGACGGCATTTTTTGGTAACTTGGGGTAGTCTTTCTATAATGGGGCCTTTAGTTTGATTACTTATGCACCTTTTGCATTCTTAGTCTAATATATTTTGTATTTATGTTATTCTAAATTTTTAATTTGTTATATTTCTCACATTTTTAATTTTAAAGTTTAATTTGTTTACTATCATTGTTTGATAGTACTATTTCAGTCTTGTTTATCTTCATGTATTCGAACTATTAATCAACGAATTGGGCTATGTCCCTAATTTAAAAAAAAAAATGTTAATGTATTTAGTCAGAATGATAGATTGTTGTCTTACTAGTGGAAAGAAATATATCTTTCTGTGATGAGGTCATCGACAGACATTTTAGGCAGGTTTATCGGCGAAGGAATCGTAGATCGACGGCTACGATCGGGAGTTTATATTTTTGATGTTGTCATGTCTTTTATGTTATTTTATTTTATGTATATTTTACTTCATGTACTAGTGACGATTTCGCCCTTATGAAGGCGTAGTGTTTGTTGTAGCCCCCCCTTAGCCCGTCCTCCTCTGTCCAGGAAATCCCGCCGCCCAGCCCAAGGAAAATTCAAATTCCTTGTATTAATTCCCTCATTAATCCCTTCCTAAATTAACGCCATATATTTAGGAAGAGATTAAATGAAATCTCATCAGTTTTAATTTCAAATTTTGAATTCCTTTATTTGATTAAAACCTGAAATTCAAATTAGGTTTTAATTAATCCCATGGGCCCCACTAATTAATCAAATCTCCTTCTCTCCCTCCCTTGCTTGGCCGGCCATCCATCTCTCTTATTCTCTCTCTATTTGCCACATAAGCACCCACTAATTCCCTCTAATTCTCCCCTAATAACTGCCCCTCTTGAATTCCAAAATTAGGGAGGTTTCAATTACAATTAATCTCTCCCTCCAACCAAAGAAAATCTGAAGTTCAAATTCGGATTTTCTCTTGGTCTTTCCTAGCTCACGGTTCCACCCTCCTTCCCGTGTCTTCTTCTCGCCCTTCCTCGATGTTGAACGGCGGATCCGGAACTTGAGTGGGGATTAATATTCCACGCCGACGGGAGCATTGATATCCTACGATCTCCGTGCTTTGACGTAGGATTTGAAGACGACGCCACAATTGAAGAGTACTTGGAGCGAGTCATCCCAATTCTCGCAAGCATCTTCGACCGACAGTTTCGTGACTACACTTGGACGATCATCGGACGCCATCCACCACCACCTCCTCCGGCGACTACCTCTCCGGTAACGAAGTCTTTCGTCTCCCTTTTCATAGTGGTGCTCTCCCTCTTCGTGTGGTTCTTGTTTCTCCGCTAAAGCCCAAGAGTGAACGAAAGAGAGAGGGTACTCAAGGTGAAATTCTTCATTATTAATTGTGGGATTTTTGTTATGAGCAATTAAGTAGACCTTTTTATTTTGGGATTGTTATGAATTGTTTGGTTATCTCAAAGCAAATCTTCGCCTAAACAAGTTAATTACCTAGAACAAATTAATCCTTCATTTTATTGGTAATAAAATTTGTTTTGACAACGCTTTGAATAACTTTCATGTTAATTTTCCAAATGCAATTCCTACATTGATTCACATCA